CACAGATTGGAAGGAAGTGAAAAATCTTCCGTGAATCCTGACATTAGTCTCTTTGTGAAGGTAAGAGCTGCCTTTGAAACACCTACACAAACCTACACAAACTGGTATTGGTGTTTTATTTTGCTCTGAGTGACCAGGGAAAAATGCATGGTGTCTGCGGTCTTAGGCTCTACACACATACTAAAGAGTAGGGCTGATTAAATCAGTCATTTCAGAGCATAGCCAGCATTTCTCAAAATGACAAGAATTAGAAAAAACATGGAAAGACTGTGTTTAAACATTGACTTTTATACATTACAGGCAAAGGTTTTTTAAGAGTTCACATGAATGAGAGGAAGTCTGGGTTCAAATTCTCACCTGTGTGACAAACATTAGGCACATTTGTCTGTCTGGTTAAATTTCCTTCATCAACATGATTTTTAAAAGTGAAACTAAGGCTTATGAGAGAAAGTCAAATCTATAGTTAGGTGGAGGAATTTCCTTCTTATGTGTCTAAGGTCACAGATACTTCAGCTATCTGGGCAATAAACCTCACCTCTGTCACAGAGCTCGTCCTTTTGGCACCAGTATAACTAAAATTCTGATGAAGTCAAATGATTTCAGTAGTAGTAGGAAAATCCTAACTGCTAGCGTTAATTTTTATTGCTTGTGATATTTAGACAGAACTTTGGTGATCTTTGTATTAGTCTAATAATGTAATAAAGATTATGGTTAGGTTTATAAATCAAAACGTATAAAACATTTCACAGCTAAATATATCATTTTTATTCATCAAGATGGCAGATCCTTTTCCCTCAGCATACCCCCTACATAACTACATAATATTCATATTTACATTATTTACATGAATTTTTTAAGAGAATTTTTGGTATAGGGTGTGTGTGCTCACCAGACAGAGAGACAGAAAGCAAGAAATCACCCCACCTCCAGGGGATGGCCACGCCACAATTCCTTCTTCTCCTTTTTCCTCTTGGGATTTTGGGCATGCAAGTACACATGCCCTGAATGAGTTTTAAGCTGCTGGGTCCAGGACTTGAACCACAGTCAACTATATGGGAGTCCAGCAATGTAACCATTATGCATCTGCTGGTCCCTTTATGAATTTTTCAATGTGAAGTTGTCATATTAGTAAATATTGCTATCTAATCTAATGCTAATCACATTCTTGCCAATAAAACTGATTATACTATGAATATACAAAAATCCCAGTTCATACTCATTTCTCCTCTTCTGGGTTTCCAATAATAGTTTTAATGACGTGTACTTTAGTTACTATTTTGACATTTTATTGTCTTCTTTGTTGCCCTTTTCTCTAGTTGTTTTGCATGCAAATTGTGTTTTCTCCATTCTACTATAAAGAACTTTAAAAAAAACCATCCAGGCATAGTGCCTGATTCATACTAAGTCCTTACAAACCTTGCCTGGTGTTGTGCTGAACACTGGGATAAGGAGATGTGTAAGATGTGTCCCTAGCTCTCGAGAAATTAACTATAAGATGTCAGATGTAGACTTGCTCTCAATGTAGTAAGAGAGAAAATAGAGGAATGAGTGAAGATATCTGTGGGTGTTCAGGGAGAGAATGCCAAACTGTGGCAAAGGAGTTAGAAACTGTACTGTGAAGGAGGTGACGTTCAAACAGGTATATTCAAGCAACATTCCAGCCTCCATAACCACAGCACTGCTGTGTTACAGTGTGAAAACAAGTGCTTTTCAGTGAAGGCTAGATATGTTTCTTCTCAGGACAGAAGCATCCATGCAACTTCATGCAGCAAGCAAGGTGGGTCATCACTGACATCATTATCATCATCATAATCAAGGCATTATTTGTAAATTTGATAATGTGCAAGTCTAATAAAAAATTAGCCTGTCACTGAACCAAATAGAAGTATTACAGTAGGAAAAAAATGTTGGCATCTCCAACTGGTACTAGCAACAGGGACAAACTGCTTGACAGTAGCATGTGATTCTTAAATCACTTCAAACCGTCTAAGGCAAATATTGGATTTAATTAACTCTTTAAGTTTTACTTTATATATATGTATGTGTGTGTGTGTGTGTGTGTGTGTGTGTGTGTATATATGTTAACTGAGAAACCATGAGCCTCCCTCAGCTCCTATATGTGAACTCCTTCTTAAGGACATTCAACAGTATTCTCTAAGAAGTGTGGCAGGTATAAGCCAGGTTCTCCAAACCAGCTCTCATCCCATCCCTACTGCAGTTCCTTATTCAGTGTTGAATGGGAGTGTAATATCTAAAATGGGTAATGGGATCTGCTCTGCCTGAGTGGGAATGAAGAAGCTGAATGTGACCTGTTCAGAATCTTTCTTCCCACCTTCATGGAGGGGATGCTGGACCCCTACAATGGAGGTGGATTTCTGGCTCACCATTTTCCTAGCAGGGTTTACGGCTATGCAGATCCTGGTTTCCTTTTCCTAGGTTGTTTTAGTGCAGACCACCTGGGCTGCATCAACACCTGTATTCATTCATGTATATTTTTACCTGGTGTGTGTGTGTGTATATATATATGTTAACTGAGAAACCATGAGCCTCAGCTCCTATATGTGAACTCCTTCTTAAGGACATTCAACAGTATTCTCTAAGAAGTGTGGCAGGTATAAGCCAGGTTCTCCAAACCAGCTCTCATCCCATCCCTACTGCAGTTCCTTATTCAGTGTTGAATGGGAGTGTAATATCTAAAATGGGTAATGGGATCTGCTCTGCCTGAGTGGGAATGAAGAAGCTGAATGTGACCTGTTCAGAATCTTTCTTCCCACCTTCATGGAGGGGATGCTGGACCCCTACAATGGAGGTGGATTTCTGGCTCACCATTTTCCTAGCAGGGTTTACGGCTATGCAGATCCTGGTTTCCTTTTCCTAGGTTGTTTTAGTGCAGACCACCTGGGCTGCATCAACACCTGTATTCATTCATGTATATTTTTACCTGTTCTACACATGTCAGTGAAAACATCAGGCAGGGTTGTAACATTACATGTTCAACCAACCTTTTTACTGAAGTGCAAACATTTCAGTGTTGACCAACAACTTAGTTATTTAAAATATATCATTGTTTTATTAACTCAACAGATATCATGCTAGGTACTGGGTTCACAGCAAAGAAAACAAAGTCTTGGCTTCCATGCACTTTGCATTGTAGTGGGAGAGAAATTGACAGACAAGTAAATATAAAATATGCCCAGTTGTGTTATAAAGAAACATCAAGCAGGATATAGGTGAATTAATTTCTTATTGCTCTTATAACAAATCACTGCAAACTTAATAGCTTGAAGCAATACAAATATTCTCTTATACTTCTGGACATTGGAGGTCTGAAATGAGTCTTGTGGGGCTAAAATCAAGGTGTCAGTGTTTCTGGAGGCTCTGACAGAGACTCTGTCCCTTCCCTGTTCCAACCTCTGGAAGCAGACCTTAGAGCCCATGTTATGTCCCCACTTTCCTTCCTGTTTTCATCATCACATTGCCACTTGCTTATTCTCAACCACTCTTGCATTCCTTTTGTAAGGACCTTGTGAATAGATCGGATCCACCAGCATAATCTAGGGTAATCTCCCCATATTAAGAGTCTTAGTTTAATCACATCCACGTACCCCTTTTGCCTCATTAGGTAACATTGATAGCATCTGGGAATTAAAGTATAGACCTATTTAGGGCTGCTAGTCAGCCTACACAACGGGATGGACAGTGATGGTGAATAAAGGTGTGAGGAGACAATGTGGGTAGAGTGGGGAAGCGAGGGGAGGGCAGTTAGTAGGACATGAGGCCAGAGAGACAGAGTGGTCACAGATCCTGTCGGTGCTCATGGGCCATTGGAGGAGCTTTCACTTTCATTCTGACTGAGTCCTGTGAGGAGTCACCGGATGGTTTTGAAGAACATTCTGGCTGTCTTTGTGATAACAGACTTTAGTGGTAAAGGAATAGAAACAAAAACAGGGAGAACAGTTCAGAGGCAACTGACAAACTCAGGCCATAAATGAGAATGGATTCACTGTTTTTCGATAGCTGTAGAGGTGGTGTGAAGTAGAACTGAGATTGTTTTGAAGACAGAGCACAAAGGTTTTGTTGGTGGATTTGATGTGGGAGTTAAAGGAAGAAAAGAACCATGGTTGTCTCTAGAGTTACTCAGTGAGTGGAGATTACCCCCATGTCGGCTATACACCCCTTCTTGGGGAACATGCGATTGAAGAAACTAACAGCTCTTCTTTTTGTCTGCATACATGTGTACAAGGGAGAAAGAGATGGGAGGAAATGAGAGGGAGGAAGTAAGAGAGACACGTTCTGGTGTATTGCTTGATGTGAAGAGAAAAAAGTTTTCTGATAACGGTCGTTGCAAAGGCAAATGGAACAAATAAAAATCATCTGTTCAGTAGATATGTTGATTATGGAAGACTAAATATCATTTAAAGCAGGTTTTGAAGTCCAGTTGCGTGGATTTGGAATCTGACTTAGCAAACTAATTTTTGCTAAATTGTTTAGCTTTGCTTAGGCTCAATGTCTTCATTACTAAAATGGATGTTATAAAACCCCAAATCCCAAGAGGAGAATGGAGAAGAGGGGATTGCAGCATGACCATGAGTGATTTCTTCCTTCTCACTGTCTCTGTATCTTTCCTCTCTGGCAAAAACCTAAGAAAATAATAATAATAAGAAACATTTCTATTTAATTTTTATCCAATCTTCATAAATGTTAATATTTTATGTATTTCTTAATGTGCACAGTATATTCTGACAGTGGTACATGAATATAGTTTGTAAGTAAATAAGTGTACCTATATAATGGGTAAATGTTTATTTTGTATTGACAGAGATATGCATGCCACTTAAAAATTCTTACCGATTCATACTTTCTTTCCTTTCCTGCCATCATTTATGGGCCTGGGGCTGTTTCCTTGGCCTAGATCTGATGACAGTCCTCTTACCTCTT